TTTCTTAGTTATCTCTTTATAACATATTTTTTTGCTAAATCAATCAGAGAGGTACGCCATAGTCAAAAAAATAAAATCGCTTTATTTTTTATTTTTCTAGAATACTACTACTGATATAATTATAAACATTTTTTTGTATCATCTGTAGGCATTTTTCTACCAAATATTTTTTCACCAATTCGAGTAGAAAGGTATGCCATGATGAAACAACATAAGGCCGATTATTATTCGTATTTTTTTCATATTCTCATTGATAAATTGTTCAAGCTTCTTTTACATTATCTTTAAAAGCTTCTGTATGAAATATTGTATTACTTATACAACTAAAAACGTACGTAAAGATGAAAACAACAAATTAAAGACTAAAAAGATGAAAAAAAGCTATTTTTTTCATATTTTTGTAGTATTATTCTTAGCATTAANAAACAACAAAATAACAAAAAAGTAAGTTTTGTTATTTTGTCAACTTGTAGTACGACAAAAATTAAATTCAAGATTATATCAATAGTAAAAATTAATAACAAAATGTATGTCTTTTTTAATAATAAACTACTTATTTTTCTCGAGATTCACTAATCCTGATCACTGTCATTTTCTATCACTACGTTAATATTATCTTTTTTGAATAATTCACTAAGAATTTGAGCAGGCTTGAGAATTTTCGACAAATATCGTCCGTATGATAAGTAATAGATTATTGCTGCAACATGTGAACAGCATCCAACCGTTCTTCTTCCGTTAGCACACTCACAAAAATATCTTGAAACTCCCGAGTATCCAATAGTGTTACAATTGTACTCTATAAAACATCGGTAACTTTTTCTCCCAATGTGACGTGATTGCACTTGAGCCTTCAATATATTGCTTTTGTCTTTTACATATTGCACGTTTATCAATCCTGAATCATTTATCATCTCCGCTAAATACGATATTGCTTGCTTATATTGGTATGAGCCAGTAAACANAATTTTTAAGTCCTTCTCGGTCATTTCTGGAAAATTTTTTAAATCCTTAGATGAAATCGTTTCAAAAGGAAGTCGTTTCCGAAGCCAGCCATTTCTTTCAACTTCATAAGCCAATGTATTTTCAACATTTTTTTGCGATTTCATTCTTTCTATAACTTGTTGTAAGATTTCCTTATCAGAAGTCAATCGCTTACCAAACTTATTATGTAGAAAAGATGCTATTTTAAAATAACTTCCAACATTCGAAAGCATTTTGTTGTCGATTATTTTATCAAGAAGTTGATACTTTTGCTTTATATTTCCATGAACTGCTTCAACGGGCCAGCGAATTTTAGTTACAAATCGCGATGCATTTGATTCTTCTGCAGTAAGTTGATTACGCTTTNCTTTTAATGATGGCATTAATACTTGATATCCTTTAGTTTCCAGTTCATCTTTTACATCACGAAAGCCTCGATCAAACACAAAGATATCTCCTGGTTTCATCAATCTACATAAACCGTTTGGCTCGCTTATCACATCTTTCATAATTGTAGCGTCATTTTGATTAGCAAGGTATGGGCCTGGCATGTCAACTACAAATCCGTCAGTTGTGCAAATCGTGAAAGGTTTGCACAGTGGTACTTTTTTTTGACCTGAATAGGATTTTCTTTGATATTCGTTGTTTGAACTTTTTTGATGACGTGCNTATGTACCGTCACAAATCAATATCAAATTGTCAGTAGTGTCATAAAGATTTTTAGCAATTATTGTAGTGTGATTTTTAATAAGATCATCTCTATTTACTGCAGTACAACCAAAATGAGAAGAAAGCACATCTTTATGAAACGCTTTAATCACAGATGCCGAATATTCTGAAACAAGCTGTTCTTTTTTAAGTTGTAAAAAAGAAGATATCAATTTATTTGAATTTCCTGTTCGTAATTTGAAGAGAAATACAACCAGAGCTTGCGTTACACTACGAGCTTGATTGTTCCGCATTGACTTTAACATGTCTTGAAGCTCGATAATATTTTCCCACGTTAAACCNGTAAAAACATGAATTTGTTCTTCAGAAAGTCGATTTCCAATTTGATCTAGTANTGTAGAATCACATTCGATTGCAAAGCATTCCATGATATGTTTCAATTCAACTGCATCTATTTTAGTTGAATTAGAGTATACTTTGATAAGATTCAGATCTTCTTTGTAAAAACGATTGTTTATTAAATGTGTTTTACAACATCGATTTCCTTGTGGAATATAAATTCGGTTTTTAATAAAAGATTGTATACGAGCTGCTTCGGGAACAACAGTAATATTTTTAGTGACGTTGCAAATACAACAATACTTATGTGTAGCAACAGTCCTTCCAATTTGGACCTCTATAAATTCAATGTCGTTTTCATCTTGTGTAGGTTTGATTTGAATTTTCACTGTCGGATCCTCTGAACTTGACTGAGACAAACTCAGTTCGGATAAACTTGAAGTATATTTCTCTACAGCAGCAGTTAACATATCTTTTTGAATTTCAGAAATTGAAGTGTCAATTTTTCTTCTTTTATAAGGCAAGAGACGACACTGTCCACAAATTATACTATTGATTGATATTTCTTTGCCAGATATTAAATTGATTTTATCCACATCATCTTCTG